AAAATAGGCCATTCCTATAACCCCTAAATTTGCAATTTGGGAGTAAAGAAATAGCGCATGAATTTTTATATGTCCCAGAACGTTCCATACTTTTAATAGGAAGAGACTTATTGGTCAGATTAAATGCTCAAATTTTTTTTGAGGATAGAGACTTGTTAAAAATACCTGAGTCAGAATCAGGGGACATTTTGATGATAAAAGCGAAACAAAAGATACAGGAAATACTCCCAGAAGTAGGGAGTGCAGTAATCCCTGTGGTATGGGAAACTGATATCCCAGGAAAATCTAAATTAGCACAACCTATAAGGGTTGAATTGAAAGAAGGAGCTAAATCAGTCAGGGTCAAACAACATCCGATTAAACCAGAAACAAAACAAGGAATTAATAAACTAATTGATAATTTTTTGAAATATAAAATTTTAGTAGAATGTGAATCAGAATATAACGCGCCTATTTTACCAGTAAAGAAACTGAATGGAGAATATAGACTTGTTCAGAATTTAAGACCTATAAATCAGATTGTGACAGGCATACACCCAGTTGTAGCAAACCCATATATGCCATTAAGAGCTTTAGAAGAGAATTACCAGTGGTTTACAGTGCTTGATTTAAAAGGTGCTTTCTTTTACATTCCATTGGGACAAGAGAGTCGTAAATTATTTGCTTTTGAGTGGGAAAGCCCGCAAACAGGACGCAAAGTGCAGAAGTCCAGCTGACATAGACACGGCTACCCCAACTGTCTTTGGAAGTCAACTAGCAAAAGAACTGGAAATCTGGACTAATGAGAAAACTGGGACTCCAAGACCAAAGCATCTGCTTCTGCAGTACGTAGACGACATCCTGACAGCCACTGAAGATGAAGCAGCCTGTTTACAGGTAACAATGGAACTTTTAAACTTCTTGGGATTAAATGGGTACAAGGTGTCAAAGAAAAAGGCTCAAATCGCAAGTCAAGTAGACACAAATGAGTAAAATCTGTCAGGAAGCCAAGCTGCAGTGGCCTCAGGCACTCCCACTTGGACTGTTGCAAATAAGAATAAAGCCTCGAAGTGGAATGTCAGTAAGTCCATATGAAATAGTGTATGGAAAACCATATGAAAGTCCTGAACCTAATCCACAGATGCATGTATCAGGGAAACAAGATATCTATAACTATTTGCTTTCTCTTGGAAAAACCTTAGCCAGGCTCCAAAGTACGCTGGTGTGGGACCGACCTTCGACTCTGGAAAATCTAGTCCATGAGATACAGGAGACTACATGTATGTGAAGGTTTGGAATGAAGAGCCCTTGAAAGGAAGGTGGAAAGGACTGTACCAAGTGATGTTGACCACCTTCACTGCAGTCAAGATTGCTGAATCAGACACGTGGATCCACTACACTCAAGTGAAGAAAGCAACCGGGGACCTGGAGACTTAACTTTGAAACATGATTAAGTTTGTTTTTCTGTTTATCTTGCAGTATGTAGTGGTGCGTATGTTGAAAGAAATTGGATCATTACAACCTCATTACAAACCCAGGTCCAAGTCCAGACAAACCGAACTTTGAAAAGAGAAGAATGAAACATTGATTCTAGTCAGGTAGTATTGAGACCAAAGGAAGCTCAGGAAGAAAATTTGATGATAGGATTGATTAAAGGGTTTGCAAATTTGCAAAATGTGTCACAAATTACAGCAGGTTTGCCAGTACCTCAAGCAGTGGAAAAACCTATTCCATGGGGTATTTTAACAATGAACCTATCCATCATAGAGAGAAATGAGACCACTCATTGTGGACAAAAGCCTGTAATTGAATGGCAAGAAGAAGTGGATTATATTAGAAAACAGTCGAAAAGCCCAGGAGATAGAGCTATAAAATGTTAAATGCTATAAATTGTTAAATCCCCAATACATTCATATTGGATGGTTTAAAGATGTTGGGTGGTGCAGATATGAT